TATATATATATATATTAAAGTGCTCCAAAGTATAGATAGTTAGATCTTAAAGAAAAAACTTGGAAGTTCCGATTCTATGTAAAGTCAAATCATCGAACAAATGGAAGCTGGCCAATCATGCAGGCTTTTGCAAATTTGCTACAAGTGTCTCAAAGTGTCGTTACCAAAATGAGATAAGAAAGACCTCCATCTTTATATTCCGGTTCATCAAAGTTGTAGAGAACCTGCTCAAAATTGTTTCAGACGTTCACAGCCACAACTGTACTTAGTATCAGTGTGCTAACAGATTTCACAGATCCACTTTTTATTACATACCAAAGGAACAAAACAACTTGCCTACAGTAGTATTAAGAACACATCCAGTGGAGTAACGATATATGTTAAAGGTACTATTTTTACAGATGAGTCGCATTGCATCTTGCAGCTAAACAGTGTAGATACTCCTTCTGAAACATCTGTAGACAGATCTAACTCCATTTTTATAAAGGAACGTGACACACATGACAGTGGTGAAATTATGGAGTGGACTTCCTGACCTTTACATCCTGATGAATTGTATTGTAAGTGCCGTACATTATAAAAACCGCATCCGATGACCAGTTAGAGTGGTACAAATGGCTCAAATTTCAGCCTAGAAGACGAAAATGCCTGCACCCACCGTGTCGAACTGGTCGACATATTTGTTGAAGAGAAGATTTACCAATATAGAATAGCCTGCATACTTACCGGACATGTATGGAATGTCTTTGGAAGACACGTCGAAGAGTGTCAAGCGACATACTGAAACAACTATTTTAGAGAAGTGGTCGAGAATCTCAAGATCTTGTCAACACCGAGCTTAAACTTGCAATATTATTGCCAGACTTCTTTTAATAACCACACTACATATTAAAGTAAGTGTACTGAACTATAAATATTTAGAGCACGTCTATTAAATATTAATTAACGAGCGTTAGATAAATAACGTTCATTTGCATTCCACGTAACAAGGCGGATTATCAGATTCTGGATTTGAGTAAAAATGAACCGATAGAGTGTTTAAAATTATTTTATTACAGTGGTTTAGCCTTTTAATAGTTATAGTGTTGTAAATTTCAAAAATCTTTTGTTTTGTGCAATGTAAAAGATAAAGAAGAAAATTATTTTACCAATAGGTTTCCGTTGACGTTTCTTTTTGTGTATAAAGTATTCCTGAACACTGTGATATGTAAGGTAAAGGGTTAAGTTATGCATATAATTTTGAGTTTAAAACGGACATATTTTAATTCTTTATCTTCAGGGACAGACGAAAGTAGAGACGGAAAAAGCCCGAGGCGGATTGTATTGTGTACGTCTAAGTGGTATGTTAATACAAAACGTTTTAAATTTCTATTTCAACTACTCCGGCTGTGTATTACGATGTAATTATGTTGTAAGATACATTATAACATAGATGAAAATGTGATACACACACACACATATATATAAGTATGAAAAGGCACACTTGTTTACTATAGTTTAAAAATTAAGGATATACTTTTCAGAAATTCCACTCTTTTTTTTTTTAATTGACAATTAACTATACAATTTTTGAGTCAATGAAAGCAAAACCAGAAGTGAAATTGAAAAGAGAATCTGGGACGTAGAGGCCTAATGCATTTTTTGATTGGCCGTACCTTTTGCTCTGAACTACAGTTTGCCTATAAATTTACGTTAACTTAGGTTACTGTATGGTGAATTAGAACGAGCTCAAATCCTCATAGATAAAAATACTGTTACATCTCCGTTTGTTAATTAACTTTCCGTAACTTCGTTCCGACGAAACTTTAGCGACACAAGTCCTTACTTAATAAAACTGGTTTATTCTTTCTGAATATAACTTTACCAATACACTTATTTTCAACAGTCGCTCTAAAACACACACCATAACGAACGAACGTTAACTTCAACAATACCCTGTGACTGCAGATCAATTACTCACTACCTACACACACATTATTGTCGTCCCGTCACGTTGTCACCCTCTTATATATACCAGGCTACCCTATATCTAGTAAATGCTAGGGCATTCACGAAGGAACAAGATAGTTCTAGAAACGTGGCATGACACTAGTCACGTGACCTCGCTGACGCAACAATACTTTTTTATTGAAATGTTTTACATAAACTTTTTTTGCAAGTGACTGTAAAATGTTAGTTAAATTGGCTTGTGTTGTTTTAGATTTGTGACTGTTTTACTAGGACATTTTTATAGGTGACTGTAAAATATTATTATGAAACTAGCAGAGACCCGTCCTTTATTAAGCTTTTATTAAGTACAGCCTATATTCGATAAAGCAATAAATTAACATTTTAATTTGTGTACGTTTTTTGCTTTAGTTTTGTTAGGGCTACAATTAACTGTACTTAATACTGTTAATAGATAAACTTATAATGTTATTCTATGATCTAATGTTAGGCCTTTTTAAGAACATTAATAAGCTTTTAATATGTTGTTGTACAAAACGTATACCAAATTACATTTAAATTCGCCTTTTGTTTATACCTATTGAAATGAAGTACGTGCTAATGCGCATTTAGATAGTAAGGTGCGCGCGCATTTCCAGGACAGACAAAAACTGAGTGCTATTGTAATACATGGGCTGTGTTGATTTAGATTCATGCACTTGACGGTACACTTAACCTCATTTAAGTTTAATTTTAAATTTAATGGTTGATCGGAATATAACTGATATTATATTAAAAACAACATAATTACTACTGGGTTAATGAAACTTTAGTATTCGATTAATATAGTATATGGTAAGAATGTTTAGAAAATAAATAACACAAGCTTTCTGTTAAAAATTTGAAAATATAAACATAAAATTGAAAGAATCACATAAAACAGAGGGACAAATACACTGACACAATTTACCATTTAATTTATAAGTTGTACATAAAAAAGTCGAGACTGTTCAAGCACAGATTCTTTATACAATTACAATAAGGAAAAAATCTAAATTTCTCTGTACTCTCTTCCTTTAATGAACACAATTGGTATTAGAATATTGTTACGTCTCCGTTCGTTAGTAAATTTCGTTCCGACGAAACTTTAGCGATGCAAGTCCTTTCTTAAATAAAACTGGTTTATTCTTTCTGAATACAACTTTGCAATACACTTAATTTCCACAGTCGCGCTATAACAAACGCTATAATTCACAACGAACGTCTCACGTGCTCAACTCAACAATACTCTGTCTGCAGTTCAATTACACATTGTTGCCGTCACGTCTTGACCGGTTTATATATACAAGAATATCTAAATCTAGTAAACGCTTGAGCTTTCA